CTTGAAAGCATGAGGCATTGTTTTGTGGGCATGTATTTTTAATTTCAATCAATAGTATCCTGTTGGAGGTCTCTTTCTGTTCCTTACTCTCCCTTCCCACCCCCCATTCAGCACGGTGTTTTAAAGATCTATCTACGTTGTGTGTATATCTGGCTCATTGCTCCTTACTGCGGTAGAATATTCCAGTGATGGATGCCTCACTGCATCCAGCACTCCAACAATCACAAATAACTTTGTGATAAAATATCCTCTTACATGTCTCTTCATGCACCTGCGTAAGAATTTCTCTTAATTGCATAGCCAGGAGTGGGATCCTTCTCACCTCTACTCTTAATAATTATTTGTATCTCTTTATTTCCTTCTACTTAGTAAATTCCCTCCAACTCTTGGAATTAAAACAGGTTAATCTGAGCAACATCTTAAACTTTTAAATTATGGGAAATATTTGTTATGGGTCATTTTATTTCTATAGCTCCTTGCAAAACATATCTTCTTATTTGTGATATGATTTAAGCTTACAAAATAGTATTGTTGACTAAGATTTGGACCATCACATTGATGATCATGGATTTTCTTTTTTTTTAAAGATTTTATTTATTTGCAAGAGAGAGAATGAGAGACAGAGAGCATGAGAGGGAGGAGGGTCAGAGGGAGAAGCAGACTCCCCGCCGAGCAGGGAGCCCGATGTGGGACTCGATCCCGGGACTCCAGGATCATGACCTGAGCCGAAGGCAGTCACTTAACCAACTGAGCCACCCAGGCGCCCATCATGGATTTTCTTTTACCAAATAAACTTTCCCCAATTCTTTGCTGTAAAACAGCTGAATTTAAGCAACATCCTAAATTTTAAATTAAAGGTGACATTTCAGAACCACATTTAAAGCAAGGCTTCTCAACAGTAGAACTATGACATTTTGGCCTTCTGATTCTTTGTTATCAGGAGCTGTCCTGTGCATTAGAGGGTGTTTAGCACCATCCCTGGTCACTACTCACTAGATGCACTTCTCCCAAGTTGTGATGACCAAAAACATCTCTAGACATTGTCAAATGTCCAATGATGGGGACAAAGTTGCATCTAGTTGAGATCCACTATTTTAAGGTAAATGAATTCTGGGATTCACTTGGGGCCTTTTTCTAGGATCTTCCTTTCTTTCTTTCCAGTTTATTTCAACCCTAATCTCAGCCACAGACTTGCTGTATGGGATCCCTTTTAAAACCTGCCCCCTTGCGTCTTGGCTGCAGTAAAGCTCTTTCTGGAGATACTGGAGCCCTTCGCCTTTTAGGGGACTGAGCTCCAAGCAGTCATCCAGGTTCTCTTTTCTCTAGCTTTCCTGGCCTCCCTCTCAGCCACTCTAGTGCATCAGAGAAGGAAGAGGGAGTTCCCTCCCTGGGAATCCAGAAGAGGAAGGACAGTCCCACAGTGGCTGATAAGACCTTAAAAGTTCGATGATTCAGTCTCTCTTTTTGGCTCTCATATTCTCTCTTCTCAGGAGGACCTATTCTCTCTCTAGATCTCCCATGTAATTTTTTATCTACAGTCCTTAGATGAACACCCAGAGTGACGACTGTCACAAGTATATTCCTCAGCACACTAGCCCTATAAGATACTTCTGAGGAAAGTTTTCTGAGGTCAAATAAGTAATGGTAATGCTGCCTACTGGATCCTTCTCTTGGACACTGGCAATGACCATCAGTATATTAAAGGCTTTGAGAAGCTCTTCAGACATCTATTTTATTTTATTTTTTATTTTTTTAAAGATTTTATTTATTTATTTAATTGACAGAGAGACAGCCAGAGAGGGAACACAAGCAGGGGGGTGGGAGAGGGAGAAGCAGGCTTCCCGCTGAGCAGGGAGCCCGATGCAGGGCTCGATCCCAGGACCCTGGGATCATGACCTGAGCCAAAGGCAGTCGCTTAACCAACTCAGCCACTCAGGCGCCCCGTCTATTTTTTTTTAAAGATTTTATTTTTAGGGGTGCCTGGGTGGCTCAGTCAGTTGAGCATCTGACTCTTGATTTTGGCTCAGGTCATGACCTCAGGGTCATGAGATTGAGCCCCACATGGGGCTCCATGCTCAGCATGCAGACTGCTTGAAATTCTCTCTCCCTCTCTCTCTCTGCCCCTCCTCCTGCTCACTTGCTATAAATAAATAAATAAATAAATAAATAAATAAATAAACAAACAAATAAATAAATAAAATCTTAAAAAAATATTTTATTTTTATTTTTTTAAAAATGTGGGGCTCTCACAACCCTGAGATCAAGAGTTGCATGCTTTACTGACCAAGCCAGCCAGGCACCCCTGGATGTCTATTTTTAATCCAGCATTTCCCAGTTTAAGTGATTACAGAAATTTCCTACCACACCTACCACATCTTTTAACACCCCCACAGAACTGGTATCTCAAGGAACACAGTTTAGGAAATGTCCTAGCTATTAACGACCTCCATTTTTTATAAGTTGCCTTCAAAAGCCACTAATGTGTTCCTTCATTTATTCAAAAAACTGTTGGGCACCCACCATGCTAGGTAATAGGGCTACAAAGATTACTTGTCCCAGCGACCCATAGGCTAGCAGGGGGACAGATGAGTCAAGTCGGACTGTCAGAAGATATGTCAAGGTCTGAGCCAGATGTTGGGGGAAACAATGGAACTCAGTGATTAATTCTGACACTGGAGTTCTGATAATCTTCACAGACCAAGCAATACCTCACTAAGCCTAGAATACGAGACTGGGTCCCTTTTACATCCTTGCAGTATCAGGAGCTTGTTAGAAAGACAAAATCTTAGGCTCCACCTTAAAGCTAGCAAGCCAGACCTTGCGCTTTAACAAGATCCCCAGATACTTGACTTTTACACTTTACTGCTTGAGAAGTGCTGCCTTAAAATGAGCACACTTTTGGATAAGAATGTCAACAGAACCAAATGTATTTCTGAGTGGTACCCTGGCCAAAGGCTGACCTAGTGGTTTCCAGGCCTGGCCAGACAGACGACTAGGAAGGGAAGACTGGTATGGGGAACGAGTGTCTTCTCTTCTCTCCTTGCCATCACCTAGCAATGACTGATTCACCAGGGGAAGTGGCAGGATGTCATCAGGGAGCAAGAACAGATAATGAGGCCATACCTCATTAGATATCTGCCACAACTGGGTCGATATAATGGCAAAGACTGAGAGGAAGGGAATGAGCAGGGTTCAAACGGGGAAAGGATATTTCCCATTCTCTTCCCAGAGAACCAGGTCTGGACCAGGCAAATGGCCAGCCACACAGCCTAGTGTTCAGGCCCTGTATGAAGAACTTTTACCTTCTTCCTCTTGATCCCCAACACTGGTAGAGGGAGGAGGTACAGTGAGGATTGATGGCAGGCAGCCTGACCCATCAGGAAGCAAAGATGTTCAGGGCAAGTGTACCCGGAGGCTGAACCAGTCCAGTTTTAGATTCTCTTCCCCCCTTAACAGGTCATGCCCTTGTCTGGGCCTGGCCCTGGGCACTGCTGGCATGAGCCCTGCAGGCCACAGGAAGGATGCAGGCAGGCTGGGCCTCGGCCAGAGGCCTTGGTGAGGACCTGGGGGAACACTCTTCCCACAGACTTGGCTTTTGATGGGTGGACGGTGCCTAGCCTAGGTGGGGGGTAATTAAGGGGAGGGAAACTGAAAACCACAGCATCAGTAACCACAACAAAGGGTGGCAGAACAGGCCATCCCGAAACATGCCGCTTTGGTATTTGATTACGCTGACTTGTAGGCACATGAAAAACAGCAAATGTAGAGAGAGACTTTCTCTAAATTCTTATCTGCCTCAACATGGATCCTCCAAAAGGAACTCATTTATCACAGATCCCTCCCCTGAGGTATCATTCACCAGGGAAAATTGTCTTGTAACAGGAGAGGGGACTAGAAGTCAATACCACACCCAGAAGACAGACTTTTGTCTCAAACTCTTATACCTCCCATCTATTCTGACGGCCCATTCATCTTTCCTAAAAATCATCTTCTCTCCTCTCCGAGGCCTACATTCCCCCTTCCCTTTCCCTATTAAGAGTGTATTTAATCCTGAATTCTAAACCACCTCAGGGACTTACTGGGCATCTCCCTACCTGGGTATCTCCCATGTACACATGAAGTATACATGTTAATAAACTTGGTTTTTTCCCTTGTTAATCTGTCGTTTATTACAGGGGTCTCAGCTAAAAACTCTGAAGGATAGAGAGAACATGATTTTTTCTCCTCTACAGCAGCAAAACAAAACGAAGTATCGAAATACCAGCACAGCCTTTCAGCATACTTTCCTGCCCTGCTCCAGAAGGTCTCACGTGTGATGCATCCTCCAGCAGGGGGCGCCTGTCTGGACCCTTCAGAGCGTCAGCACAGAGCAGCCAAGGCCTGGATCCACCAGGATGAAGTCTTCTTGCTATTCTACCTAGATACTTAAAGGTAAGTCCGCAGGAATCTGGTAGACAGAGATGGGATTTCTAGAAGAAAGAAAGGCCCACGCGAAGGCCCAAAGGCAGGACCACATTCACCTGGGTGGGAAAAGGGACATCAGCTTACAAGTCTCTACCTAGTCCTGAGTAAGCTGGCCCGATTATGTCTTCCGAGCTCCAAGGACAACATTCGTGGCCTGTGCATGTCACTGGGCATAGAGTCCCATGTTTGTTCCTCAAGGACAGGGCTAGTTCTGGTTCAGCTTATTTCTCAGCAGCCCACAGAGTTGGCCCAACCTAACCCTGACTGGAAGACTAAAAACTTCCCATATATCCACAGCAAGTGCTCAGGACAATTGGATCCATTATAGCAACCCCATTCCTACAGGTAGACCTCATCAGAACCGTCCCTGCCTCACCACCTCCTACTCTTTTCTGAAGAAAGAGTTAACTCAGAGAGTTGTTTGCTGAGGTTCCTGATACTAATCAGGCCAAGGCATATCTGAAGGGAAATTCCTTGGCTGGCACTTGCCAGGGTCAGTCTGATTTGTTTCTAATAGTGTGAGTAGAACATGATGTATGTGTTCTCTTAAAAAACCAAATAAAATTCTAGCTACAGCTTTTGGCTTTCAGCTCAGAGGAGGCCAGGTAACTGTCTTCAGTCATCGCACACCAGCCAACTCCACCAGGCCGCCTAAGCTCGACCCCAGTGAGATCAAAATCGTGTACCTGAGGTGCACCGGTGGTGAAGTCGGTGCCACGTCTGCCCTGGCCCCAAAGATCAGCCCCCTGGGCCTGTCTCCAAAAAAGGATGGTGATGACATCGCCAAGGCGACCAGGGATTGGAAGAGTTTGAGGATGACAGTGAAACAGACCATTCAGAACAGACAGGTGCAGAGTGAAGTGATTCCTTCTGCCTTTGCCCTGATTATCAAAGTCCTTAAGGAACCGCCAGGAGACAGAAAGAAGCAGAAAAACATTAAGCACAGTGGAAATATCATTTTTGATGAGATTGTCAATATCGCCCGACAGATGCGACACCGATCTTTAGCCAGAGAACTCTCTGGAACCATTAAAGAGATCCTGGGGCCTGCCCAATCTGTGGGCTGCACTGTTGATGGCCACCACCCTCATGACATCATAGATGACATCAACAGTGGTACAGTGGAATGCCCAGCTAGTTAAAAACTACAAAGGAAAATATTTCAATAGTGGATCATTTGATGACCAGGAAAAAAAAAAAATTCTGGCTACAAAAATAATTCATGCTCATTGCAGAAAAATTAGAAAATAAAGAGAAATATAAAGGAAAAAAAATAAATACCAACCCTAATCCCACTACCTAAAGCCAACATCTTTACATTTTGGTGTATTCCTTATAAGTTTGTTTTTTTGATTTGATTTGTTTTTTTCTGATTATTTTTTTCTATGCATATATGTGTACATATTTAACATAGTTGAGATCAAAATGACTATAAGTTTCATGCCTTTTTCACTTGGCAGTACATTATAAGCTTTTACTCATCAAAATTTGCTGTTATCATTAATATTCCATCCTATCCATCTATCATTTAGTTAACCATGTCCCTGTAGTGGTGACAGATTTATATCACACTTCAACTGGGAATGTGCAGAAAAACTGTGATTTCTATATTCTTTAGCTATTCTAGCCTCCTGTACAACGTGCACCCACTTAACAGGGAAAATTAACCATGGGTCTAACTAAAAAATATTCTAAAAGAAATAACTTTTTTTTTTGAGAGAAATAAAGTGGGGGGGGGGCAGAGGGGGAGAAAGAGAATCTTAAGCAATCTCACGACCCTGAGATCATGACCTGAGCCAAAATCAAGAGTTGGATGCTTAACCCACTGAGCCACTCAGGCACCCCTAAGAAATAATGTAAACAGCCTGCCTTTAAGGCTTTTTATTACTACATGATTCTATTTTGCAGGGCTGAAACCTCAGTCTTTCTCTTTGCAAGCCTTCTGTAATAAATTCTAATCCCTGGTCTCTTCTCCTTCTCATGGATACTGAATCCCCCAAGGTCTCAGCAGAAAACACATGGTTTATTCGATGTGTCACTGAAGAGTTTAATGGGGGGACCATTTACAAAGGTGCCAGCAAGGCTAAGATAACAAACAAGAAACCACAAAGCACTCAGGACTAGAGATGTGGGAGGGCATTGCTCCTAGTCCCGAAGGAGAAACAGGAAAAGCTCTACCCGCAGGAGAGAGACTGTCCAACGGGAATTTCGGTGAAGGATCGCAGCTATTGGCTCCCTGTGGTCTGGCTGAAAGGGAGCCAGGGGAGTGATCACTCTGACATCTCTCCACCTGCCCTCAGATCTCTTCCCAAGTGCCTCCCATTAGCTGAACTGAACTGGAAGTCAGAGGAATAAATAGCCCACAGGGGTCAGCCTCCCAGCACACAGAGCAGGTTGGAGACGGTGGACAGCAGATTTGAAGGGGCAGATGGAGATAACCACCCCACCTGCTTTGTGCAGAAGAGGGGGAAGGCGAAAGAAACAAGCACATTAATAATTTTCAAAATGTATCTATTTTTGGACTTTTGAATTTTCATTTTCGCTTTTATAAGTAATGTTTCAGAAGGGGACATCTCTCAAACTCGAAATGTTCTAATGAAATTAATATATCATGAAAGGAGGTACAATGTCTCTCAGAATCAGATTGTCCTAGTTAAGTCTCTTTGGAGCTGAGACAGAGCGTCGAGGGCAGGGCTTCCCACCCCCACTCCCAGGGCGGTGATCTAAAACCTTATGGGAGGGCGCCTGGGTGGCTCAGTTGGTTAAGCGACTGCCTTCAGCTCAGGTCATGATCCTGGAGTCCCGGGATCGAGTCCCGCATCGGGCTCCCTGCTCGGCAGGGAGTCTGCTTCTCCCTCTGACCCTTCTGACCCTCCTCCCTCTCATGCTCTCTGTCTCTCATTCTCTCTCTCTCAAATAAATAAATAAAAAATCTTAAAAATAAATAAATAAATAAATAAAACCTTATGGGAAAAAATAAATAAATAAATAAATAAATAAAAAATAAAACCTTATGGGAGAGGGTGTGGCTGTGGTTCAGTGGTCAGTAGAGACCGCACACTGGGGCTACACTGGCAGAACCCGCTTGGGATGTGTTCACTGGAATTGCTGCTCTACAAAAGGGAGTGGAGAAGAGTGCCAGGGAAAGCTGTGGGCCTTTGGAGGATGCCAGCCACCATGCACTGCAGGAACTGATGCTAAAGACACCATTGGTACTAAAGGCACCAACTGATGCTAAAGTCACTTGCCCTGCAGGAGCTGGATACTGGAGAAGCTGTCCATGCTGTCTGAGTCAGGTGCCCCGGGGTCACGGGGCTTGCTGAACAGAACACACCTCAATCAGGAAAGAAAATTCCTCTTACAATATCTCTCCAGGAACTTCTACTGGCAAAGCTTTACATTTGTCAGCTAGCAAAGAAAAAATATTGAGATGCTCTACTCTCTTTTTGTAGAGTAGACAATGAAGGCTAAATATGGAGCCTAGGGGCAACAGATTAATAACTAGCACAATCCCAAGTCTGTATGCCCAGAGAAGGGAGGATGATTGGTTGAGATGGTGTCACCCTGCATTGGTCAGTCACTTCTGCTGAGAATGGAACCGCATTCATAGAAAGAGAAGCAGTGAGCGTGGAAAGGCAGGTGCAAGAAAGCAAACTGGTCACCGAGCAGCCCCTGCTCTCCCAGGAAGAGAAACTAGCATTTCAGTCACTAGAGAAATTGTCTGTCCTTTAGATCAGAGACACTTCACCAAGCTTCACCATGGCTTGAAAAATATTCCTCAAGACTACCCATTTCCTTTTATTCAGACATGCAGCTCACCAAGTAATCTGATTTTTCTTACCATCTACCCCACTATCAGCTGAGGGACAAATCTTGGCAGTGGATACACATATTCTGCTGTTTGGAAAGGGATGTCATCCACTGTGATCTAATAGATCGGCCTTTGATGGCTATATAAGCCTTGGGTTGGTATTAGTGAAAGTCTGTCACCAAGACTCTGCTACTAGCTGGTGCACTAAGAGAGCCAGGCTCTGATCCTGAGAAGCTGAGAACCAGGTTTTGGACTTGGGGGACCAATCAGGGTGCTCTCCTAAAGGACCTGCAGCCTGCGCGCCAGACAATTATTGCTGCCAGCGCATCCCCCAAGGAAGAACTCTGCAGAATATGTAATTGGGCATGGATAAATAACATTCTATAAATGTCTAACCAACAACCATTCTGTAGTTGCTGGACTTAACAGGCATTTTTCAGTCTTTCACTATTATATATAACATAAGGATGAATATCTTTGTGATTAGTATTTGTGATTAGTGTTCTTTTTGCTGTTGTTTTGTTTGTTTTTGTATTTCAAATGATTCCTTTAGGATAGATGATCAGAATTGGAAATAAATTGATGTCAAATCACATCTTCCTTTGGGTGTGTGTGTATGTGGAGGGGAAGCATGAATGTTTTATTAGCTCTTAAGACCTATTGCCCAATGATTTCAGAAATGTACCAATTACAGTTCCACTTGAGACCATTTCAGGACACCCTGATTCACACAGGGTATTATGGTTTAATGTGTGTGTGTGTGCGCGCATGCCCACATACATATGAAATCTTGCTTTCTTTACGTTTCTTTAGTTAATATTAATGTTAGATATTCATGCTCACAAGAGATATTCAATCCTCTTGCCCTCTTCTGGGAGTCATCTGTTCAGGTCCTTCACAATTGAGACAAATTTTATTTCAATCTCTGGGGAGTTTCATGTCCCAGATTCTTCATTCTGTCCTCTTTTAGATGGAGGGGAGCTCTTCTCCCACCTCTAACTCCTTTGGAAATTCCTTTCTGAATTCAAGTGTCTTTGGTGTGGGAGGACTGGGCTTGGTGGCCGTGAGCCTTGATGAGAAGGGACGCAAGTATATGGCAGTCTGAAGCCTGTGAAGAAGGTCGAGTTTCATCCCTGGGTGGAGAGTCTTCAGAGGGAAGGAATTGGTCTGTATATAGTTTTCTCTCCACTTTCCATTTTTAAATACCCCAGAGGGACCCTGGGTGTTTTTCTTCTCCTTATTTGTCTCAAATTGAGTCTTTAAATAAACTGTGCTCCTTGTAGGAGCCTAAGACACATATTTAGAGGAAATGTGTCATTGAAAGTGCTATTTTGAAGTCATGTGGTAAATTATCAAAACAGGAATCTCCTCACCCCCTCTGAGCTCCGTGCCTTCTTTGGCTCCGGGGGTTAGAGAAAAACTTTCTTTTCTTTCCTCTCCCATTCCCTTTGCCTTCTAAAACTGACACAGAGAACATGGCTTGCCCTGAGAAGCTTGCAGGTGGTGAGCAGATGGCGAGTATGAGGCTGTTGTGTGTGTTGAAGTCAGTGTGGGCTGTGTGGGAATGCAAGAGGTGACAGTAACTCATTCATGTGGGGGGTGGGGCTCAGCAATGGTAATCAAGGGAGATTTGGGGACGAGGGGCCATTGGTGGTCACCTTAAATGATAGACAAGGTTTGGAAATATAGCAAAGGAGTCAGCTAGGTTTCTATTAGTTTCCACTCCTGTCTCACTGATACCAGCAGGAATCCTGGTTCTCCATGTTACTGCCAGAGACAGTCATCCATCCATCCATCCATCCATCCATCCATCCATCCATCCATCCATCCATCAATGCATACATACATATGTACATACATCTGACAGTTTATTCAATCATTTATCCATCCTTCCAATGATCCTTCCATCGTCCCATCTATTTTACGCTATCTGTGAAGGCCCTACTCTGCAGCATAGTGAAGGCACAAATATGAATAACACAAGATTCTAACTTTCAGGGTGCACGTAGTCTAGTGGTTAGCTGAACAACTTAAAAACAGATAACAAGCAATATATGTTAAGAAAAAAAAAAGAAGATAGCAGGAGGGGAAGAATGAAGGGGGGAAATCGGAGGGGGAGACGAACCATGAGAGACGATGGACTCTGAAAAACAAACTGAGGGTTCTAGAGGGGAGGGGGGTGGGAGGATGGGTTGGCCTGGTGGTGGGTATTGAGGAGGGCACATTCTGCATGGAGCACTGGGTGTTATACGCAAAAAATGAATCATGGAACACTACATCAAAAACTAATGATGTCATGTATGGTGACTAACATAACAATAAAAAATAAAAAAAAATAGATAACAATACAGTGCAATAAGTGTTTAAGTTATGCCTGTATAAATGTCTCTTTTACCCAAAAGGCCTTACCTGATCACCCTGTCTGAAATAGGTTCTAGTTATTATTCTTTTTCTTTTTTTAAATTTTATTTTATTTTTATTTTTTTTTAAAGATTTTATTTATTTATTTGACAGAGAGATAGAGAGCACAAGTAGGCAGAGAGGCAGGCAGAGGGAGAGGGAGAAGCAGGCTCCCCGCTGAGCAGGGCACCTGACGCAGGGCTTGAACCCAGGACCCCGGGATCATGACCTGAGCCGAAGGCAGCCACTTAACCAACTGAGCCACCAAGGTGCCCCGTTATTATTCTTTTTCATCATATTCTTCTTATTTTCCTTTACGGCATTTATCACAATTTGTTATTATATACTTAATAGTATGTTTATTTGCTTCCTGTCTTCCCCCGTGGACTGGAAGCTCCATGGGGGTAAGTTCTATGTCTGCTTTGCTTATTCCTGAATACTCAACACGTAGTCAATGTGTGGCATGTTGCAGGCCTATAGGAGACATTCACCAAATGAATTCATAAATAAGCACTGATCATACCCAGGAATGATCATTTCTTGCACTAAACCAGTGGTTCTCAAAGTGTGATCCTGGGACCAGCAACATCACTTACTAGAAATGAAAATTCTTGACCTCACCTGTTGGTTCACAAACTGGCGCCGTACACAGAAGGCAGAGAGAGAGAGACCAAAGAAAGAGGCAGACCACTCCAGATTGGTAGGTGGCAGGTTAATAAGCAAGGGAACTTACTTACAAGACTTGGCTTTTGTGGCCATAAGAGAAGTACATCTCTGCACCCACCCACCTAATCTTAAAAGTTTATATAGAAGCCTTAACTGGGTTCAGCCATGTCTTCAGTCCAGGTGGTCTCAACAACACCTTACTCTCTCAAAGCTACATCCTTGGAATGCTCCCACTGTGGGAACAGTAGGCAGAATGTACATCCCAAGGACAGGGGAGGGGGTGAGGAGCCCCCCATTGCCCAGGTCCTACTTGAGGGTCAACCAGCAGTCATGTCCTCTCAGTTACCTCCTCCCACACCACCCCACACCAGAATTAGAATCAGAAACTTAGAAATCAGCAATCCATATTTTAAAAGCCTCGCGGGTGATTCTGATGCATGCTAAAGTCTTGGAACACTGCACTAAATTAATAAATGGTAATTCTAGTCTACTTTCGACATCTATAGATCTCAGCGCAAAGACAAGAGTAATTGTGTCTGGATTGGGGAATACTTCATGGAGAAAGTGATATTTTCAAGGAAGCCTTGAGCTAGGTGAGCCAGAAAAAGGCAATTCAGGCAGAGAGGCAGGCAGAGGGAGAGGGAGAAGCAGGCTGTATGATGAACTGTATGACGAAAGGCGTGGATTAGCCTGGCCTTTGAAGGAATCTATAAGTAGTCTGCATGGCAGGGAATGGCATGAGATGAGGATGGAGATGTAAGCAGGGGTCTTGAATGCCAGGTTTCAAGCGAGGAGGTATCATGTACTCCATTTTCCCTATGGCTGTCCAGACAGGCCTGAGTCAGATTTCCCTGGGCTCACTTCCCACCCCTTCCTGCTTTTCTCCTCCCTCCTTCCCCTCCTCCCTCTTCTCTCATCTCCTCCCTTCCCCTGGGGGTGAGACAGCTAGGCTCCCAGGCCAGCCCCACCCTGCCATCCCTGGCCAGCCAGCCCACTGACGTCAGCTTGGTGGGGTTGTCTGGTTTGAGCTTTAGAGCCAGGCCTAGCCACCTCCCTCACAGCTCCCTGCTTTGTGGGAAAGCCCAGGATGCTGATATGCTCAAGTAGCTCATCGAGGGCTTCCAGGGCTCAGGAGAAAGAATCTCCTCCTCTGGAGACATCTTGCTCTGGGGAAGGGAACTGTGGTGTCCGAGCCAGGGTTTCTCAGGACCCAGGCTTACATCATACCACCTCCAGGGGACTGGCTCCAGGCCCTCTCCTTGCCTAGTGACTCACAGAAGGCCTGGTCTCTAGGGTCCTCAATCCAATTGTGCTTGGAGGTGATGAAGCGGATCATAGTCTTAATGCCAATAGGTACTATGTATCCAGCACTTAATGTGTTGGCACTATGAGTCCCCTACACCTTGTAGCTCTCAACTTTATGCAACCCAATAATATTTTTAATGCCATTTTTACTTTATTTTTTTTTGAGATTTTATTTGTTTATTTGAGAGAGAGAGCAAGAGAGCGAGCAAGAGAGCACAAGCAGGGGGAGGGGCAGAGAGAGAGGGAGAAGCAGGCTCTCTGCTGAGCAGGGAGCCCAATGATGATGTGGGGCTCGATCCCAGGACCACGACCTGAGCTGAAGGCAGACGCTTAACTGACTGAGCCACCCAGGCGCCCTTTCAATGCCACTTTTAGCATTCATAGATAATATAACCAACCCGCATCACAGTTTCATAATATTAAACCAAAAAAAAAAAAAAAAGCCACAATTAACTTAAAGGAGGAAATAAAAGGTATTTAAAATACAAGAATATATATTCTGGGGCGCCTGGGTGGCTCAGTCGTTAAGCGTCTGCCTTCAGCTCAGGTCATGATCCCAGGGTCCTGGGATCGAGTCCCACATCGGGCCCCCTGCTCGGCAGGAAGCCTGCTTCTCCCTCTCCCACTCCCCCTGCTTGTGTTCCTGCTCTCGCTATCTCTCTCTCTGTCAAATAAATAATAAATAAAAATCTTTAATAAAAAAAAAAAGAATATATATTCTGTGCTTGCTTGGGCAGCACATATACTAAAACTGGAACGACATAGAGAAGATTAGCATGGCCCCTGTGCAGGACAACATGCAGATCTGTGAGGCGTTCAGGACGGAAACGCTTGCATAGAAGACGACTGGCAGGTATAAGGAAGTAGTCCTTCCCTGTGAAAGGGCAACAACTATGAACACATCCTGATACACATATGTTACATTATTGGCTCCAATAATAGCAGCACTGTTGCCAATCAATTACGATTTCTGCAGCGGCGACCTCTCCTGCTGAAGTTCCAAATAAAACAGAGTCCAGTCTCCCTTGATTAACATGGTGCCCTGCCGTCTTTTGTTTGCCCCTCCAGATCCATTCTCCCCCACTTCTCTTCCCTGCTCTTGGCCCCGGGAGCCACACGCATGCCCTCTGATTTCCTGCTGGGTTTGGCCAATGAAAGTCCTGACAGGAGATGGGGTGAGGGAGGGAAGGGAGATTGGGGTTTTTATCTTTCTGCCTATCTTCCTGTCTATATCCCTCATCCTAAGGCTGCTGCTATTCTCAAGATGGCTATTGTGGGTTGAATGAAAGCCCCCCAAAGCTGTGTCTGTGGAGCGACCTGGTACGGTGGAGGCGGGCACAGGCAGGGAAAGAATTCACCCCAGGCCAAACAAAGGAGATAGAAGTTTATTGACTACTCTGCAAGGGCAGCAGAGGAGAGGCTGTCTGCCAGGAGGCAGTGGTGGGGGGCTGTCGTTAAGGGGGGTAAGGTGAGGAGGTATGGGGTATATGGAATTTTCCTTTTTTGGTACCTGTGCCCAGTTGTAAGCAGGCCATTGATCAGCTAGGGCTTGTGGATATTTTGAAGTGGGTCGCCTACTGGGCCTGTTTGCATTCAGCCCAGGGGTCACTGTGGGCCCTTTTACCTTACTTAGGTTTCCATTGCTCAAGCGTGTTGCCTAAAATCGGCCTCTACAAATGTCCATATTCTAACTTCTGGAACCTGGGAGGTAGCCTTATTTGGAGAGAGGATCTTTGCTGATGTAATTAAGGCTCTCGAGATGTGATCACCCTAAATTCAATAACAAGCGTCTTTAGAAGAGACAGAAGACAACAGAAGAGGAGATGGCCATGTAAAGACAGAAGCAGAGGGGCGCCTGGGTGGCTCAACTGGTGAAGCATCTGCCTTCGGCTCAAGTCATGATCCCAGGGTCCTGGGATATTTGCCCCATTTGGGGCAGGAAGGGGGGGTCCCTGCTCCCTGGTCCCTGATCAGCGGGGAGCCTGCTTCTCCCTCTCCCTCTGCCACTCCCCCACTCGTGCTCTCTCTCTCTGTCAGGTAAATAAATAAAATCTTAAAAAAAAAAAAAAAAAGGCAGAGGCAGAGACTGGAGTGATGCCACTGACCAAGGAAGGCTGGGAGCCGCCCACAGCTGGAAGAGGCCAGGAAGGATTCTCCCCTAGGGCCTTTGGAGGCACTGTGACCCTGCCGCTGCCTTGATTTGGGACTTCTGGCCTTGAGAATTGTGAGAATAGATTTCTGTTGTTTTAAGCCACCAAGGTTGTGGTGATTAGTCGCGGCAGCCCGGGGGATCTAATACTCTCAGCCACACTTCTCCCCTCTCAGGTTCTGGTGATCTCGCCTCTGCTCACACCTCGGATATAGTGGTGGTGACAGCTGGTGTCTGCCCTATCCTGTCTGGCTTCCCCACACCTGTCCACACCTTTGTAATTAGTCATTTTGCAAATCAACCCCTCCCTGAATTATTTTACATTGAATGGGCTGATTTCCTGTCAGGGCCCTGACAGTTACACCGGGCAAATACACTCCAGGAACATTCAATAGATACTAAAACCATGCCAAAATATGTCGTGATTCTTTGTAAAACAGAGTTTAGTGTCTAGGCTCACGTAATTCTAACGTCAGATAGGTGAATGTCCCGTGGACCTTATGAAAGCTGTGGGGGAGGGGCAACAGCTTGTCATTGTGTAGGAGTGTCCTAAGCATCACAGGACACCTAGCATCTCTAGTTAAAGGGGTTCCACAAACATGACCTTACAATTTCTGTGACATCATTCTGTTGAGAACCACTGATTATGTAATATCTTATTTAAACCCTACAATGGCACGTTGGGTACTTTCTCCATTTTACACATGTGGAAATAGGCTCAAAGGAACAAACCTGCTTGGGTCTGTCGCGGGGGTGGGATCTGGGGTTCAGACTGAGATATGACTGGATTTAAGGCCTGAGTTCCTATCACAAAGCTGTACTGCCCCTTTGTAGTTTGGGTCTTTGTCAGGGTCAAAGGGCAGAGACAGTGCTGGAGGAGATCAAGTCTAATTCAACATAGGGGCACTTGGGCGGTGCAGTCAGTTAAGCATCTGGCTCTTAGTTTCAGCTCAGGCCCTGAGATCGAGTCCCAAGTGGAGTCTGCTTAAGACTGTCTCTCCCTCTGCCTCTGCCCCTCCCTCCCATACGTGCTCTCCCTTTCTCAAATAAATGAGTAAATCTTAAAATAAAAAAAAGTCTAACTCATCACAGAGAAGAGGAGCTCCATCAAAGATGGGAATGGGATGCTATATATAATAATATATAACTTTAAAATCTCAGTGGCTTCACACAGTAAAGATTTACTTCTTGTTCCAGTAAAGTTCAATGTGGATCTTGGTGACTCCTGGGCAGCTCTCCTCCAAGCAGTGAAATCAGAGATTTGGTCTTCCTCCATTAGAAGGCTTTGCCATCTCAGAACCTTTTGTTTCCAGACTCACACAGATGGAGGAGAGAGGGTGTGGAAGATAATCTGGGATATTTTATGGGCAAATGTGGAAGTGGTAGGCTTTTCTTCTACTTTCTTCCTATTGGCTGAACTCAGTCATATGGTCCATACTTAGATGCAAGCGGGCCTGGGAAATGTAGCCTATATCTAGTGAACACAGCATTGATTCTGCAGAAGAGTTGTCAAGCTCTCCCTGTCCCTCTATCAAAAGCATAAGGAAGAGAGACTTAAGTTCAAGTGTTGTCTTGACACTAAATGACCACCCTCATATCCTGTCCCTTTTTTGGGCCTCAGTTTCCTCATTCATCAGATGGATTTGGAAGCTCATCCCTCATAGCTACATGATGGCCAGATGTAAGAGGAGAAGTAGAGTGCTGGTTGGAAGAAATCCTGGAGAGAGCTGCACCCACCTGAGGTCTGACTATGCCCAACAGTTCTCCCAACTTAATTTTCCATCTTCTGCAGCCAGGACAGCTCAGCAGATTCTCCTGATTGTTGAGAAGGTCCTCCCTGTGAAGCTCAAGTGCCTGTGGTATCTTTGAACACTGGTATTGTTGAGGAAGAAGGATTTTCAGGGAATGAAAGAAGAGTTGGAAACTAGATATGCGAATCTACCAGAGAACTCTGGCAATGGCCCTGAAGATCCAGTGGAGGCCCCAGAGATACAGGCATTAATCCAAGGAGATGCTGGACTTGTGGTTGAGGAGCTGGGATTGTGTGTGTTGGGGAGCTGATGCTCACTCCAGTGGACATCCACTGTTTCGTCTGCTCCAGACCACTCTTCCAGGAATCAACTCTCCCATCCCCAAACTACAAGGTTGCAGTGGGAACTGCTATGTTTCTACAATATGACCCTGGTCCCTGGTCCCTTGACTGGTCCAGGTCAGGCACTTGACCCATACTGGAACAATAATTTTTCTGCTTGGAATTTTGAAGAGATAGAGATGAGAGAGGAAGAGCTATCTTAACTTCTCTCCAGCTGATTGGTCCAATAACAGATAACTCTGAGGTTTTCTTGACAGCTGTATTTTCCTCACTGTGTAGAAGTAACAAGCAGGAGAAACCGGTCTGATGAGAGAACAAAAGATGAGGAGACTCCCAGGGGCATCTGAGTTTCTGGTTCTGCTCCATTCCTGAGGCCAGGCTGTAATCTAGTCCCTTGTCTATGTGACATGCCTCCGTATCATTATAATTAACTGTCTCCTTGATAGTGCAGGTGGATGTTTGTTATTTACAATCCAAAAAAGCTAAGGAATAATATGAACTTTCTTATCAGATACGTTTATTGATTCAAGTGCATTCTTCTGGTGCAACTACTATGTTCAGGTACCACGCAAGGTGCTGGAAATCCAGTGATGAATAGGATAGCCATAGTATCTACCTTAAGGGACCTTATACTTGAGGGGGGATAAAAGGCCAGGGCAGGGTAAACCTGGAACAAGTACTATGCAGGTAAAATCCAGGTTTATGAGAACATATAACAAGATTTTGAGAACATACAAGCAGAAAACTGAAGGAATGAGCAGGAATGGAGTGGAAGGAGTTGGGAATTAGGATGTAAAGAAGGGAGAACATCCCAGTCCAGAAGAAGAGGATGAATGATAACTCTATCATGAGGTCAGCATTCTCTGGAGACACAGCAACACTTCAGTTAAAGGTCCTGGTTTCTCACCTACCCCTACTTTGGGCCCCCAGCTAATACACTGGTAAGAAGACTCTTTCCTTTTGCCTGAAAGCAGCCCAGCAGGGACCACCCCCTCTTGTCCAGACCCTTCCATTCCTTGTTGAGATATTGCAAGGGGAGAAATACAAAACACTCTCTTTCCTTCATTCCCCTTTTGGTAGAGAATTGCTAGATTTCACCCTAATAGCTATTATCCTCACCTTCCTTACTCTTATGTTGAGGGCAGCAATGTGGCTGGCTAATAAAATCACATTTCCCAACCTTCCTTGCAGAGGGCGATGGCTAATGAGAAGTCAGTGGAAGTGATTGGGTAGGGCTTTTAGAAAGCTGTTTAAAGGGGTTCACTAGCTAGCAAGCACCCCTTTGTCCTTTCCCCCTGTTCTTGCTTATTTGTCCCTGGGACATGAACTTGAGGGGTAGAGCTCCAGCAGTCATTTTCATCTGTGGGTTGAAGTCATGTGCTAAGGATGGCAGAGCAGAAGATAGGATTCCAGCTTCTGAGACTTGTAGAGTCCCCATACCAGCCTGGCCCGCCTAAAGACGGTTTATCATGTGAGAGGAAAATAAGCCTCTATTTTATTTAGGCCACTGTTGTTTTGGATCTCTCTTACTAAGGGCTGAACAAAAGTCCTCATTGGTGTAACCCTAAAAGCCCTCTCATAACTCA